GCCCTCTCTTTCCTTGGGCAGGGTTTCTCTCCATCCTCTGCACCTGGGGAGTCCCTCTGCTCTGCTTGAGCAGGGTTTCCCTTCCCCTGGTACTCTAGTCAACAAGAGTACTCCTCCAAACCACAGTCCCTCTCCTTCCCTCCTGGCAGCTGACTGAAGCTGGGTTTTATATTAGGTCTCTGGAAAGGCCTTAATTGGCTCCAGGTGGTCTAATTAACCTGTAGTAACCTCTCCTCAGTCCACAGGGAATAAGGCTCTGAACATCCTTGGGCTTATATACCTCCCATCCATCACTCTCCTGATGCATCACAAGTACCATATGCACATTTTTACTGTTTATACACATTTATTTTAGGCCTTAATAGACTTAAGTATTGAATTTGCCTGGCTGACATCTGCCTGGGGGAAATTAGACAAAGATGGTAGTTTGGAGGGGAAGTCTGAGTTGGAGGGTTGGAGGATAGGAAGTTAAGAGCTGATTGGGAATTTTAAAACAAAACAGGTTTTTCATCAGAAATGTGTCAAAACTGAAATTGTGTGAGAACCTGTTGGTTTGGATGAAACTTTCATTAGGAAATGTTTCTTAGGTGCAGGATGGAATTTCTGGTCAAAACCAGAGACATCAGAATACCCTGGTGGTCAGCACACTCACCTGGGATGTGGGAAACTCACATTCAAGTCCCTGAAGAAGAGCTCTGTGTACACTGAAAGCTTGTGTCTCTGGTCCAATAAAAGCTATTACCTCACCCATCTAGTCCCTTCTCTGTCTCATTCAGTTGAGTGTGCAGACTAGACTGATCGTGACTACTCTGGGAAAGGTGGGCCTCTCTTGCTGTGTTGTTGTGAAAATGTTGAGTGGTCTCCCTTTTATCTGGATGCACAAAGGGAATTTTTTTGAAATTACAAGAAGTTTCACAAGATGGGAAAACAGAATCCATCTCAGCACTAATGAAGTTAGACTGAGAGTAGGGATTCTGGATGGAGTGAAGGGGGGATTCCCGTGGTGTCTGCAGGAGTGTAAGTATAAAAAAAAGGCGAGGAAGGGCTCTGGAGGTATGTGGGGGGGGGGGGGGGGGGGGGAAGAAGGGCAGAGAGGGCTCTAGTGTGTGTGTTGGGGGAGAAGCAGGGAGGGCTCTGGTGGTGGGGGTGGAGAGGAGAAGCACAGGGGGGGCTCTGCTGGTGTGTGTGTGTGTGGGGGGGAAGTAGGGAAGGCTCCGGTGGTGTGGAGGGGAGGAGGAGGTCAGGGAGGGCTCCGGTGGGGTGTGTGTGTGGGGAGGAGGACAGGGAGGGCTCCGGTGGTGTAGGGGGAAGGAGTAGGGAGGGCTACGGTGGTGTGGGGGGGAGGAGGAGGACAGGGAGGGCTATGGTGGTGTGTGTGGGGGGGTAGGGAGGGCTCCGGTGGTGTGGGGGGGAGGAGGCAGACAGGGAGGGCTACGGTGGGGTGAGTGTGTGTGTGTGAGAGAGAGAGAACACGGAGGCTCTGGTGGTGTGGGGAGAGAAGGACAGGGAGGGCTCTGGTGGTGTGTGTGTGGGGGGAAGTAGGGAGGGCTCTGGTGGCGTGGGGCGGGAGAAGGAGGACTACGGTGGTGGTGCGGGGAGGGGGAAAGCAGGGGAGGTGGGCAGGGGAGGACAGGAGGTGTGTGTGTGTGTGTGTTTTTGTGTGTGTGTGAGAGAGAGAGAGAGAGAAGGGAGGGCTCAGGTTGGGGGGGAGAAGCAGGGGAGTTCCGGTGGTGTATGGGGGGAGGGGGAAGGGTAGGGAGGGCTCTGGTGGTGTGTGAGGGAGGAGAAAGAATGGGAGGGCTCTAGTGTGTGAGGGGGAGCGGGAAAGCAGCGGGGGCTCTGGTGTGTGTGTGAGGGGGAGCAGGAAAGCAGCGGGGGCTCTGGTGTGTGTGGGGGGGAGAAGGGTAGGGAGGGCTCTGGAGTGTGTTGGAGGAAGAAGGAAAGGCAGGGAGGGCTCTGCTGGTGCTGGGCTGTGTGCGTGTGGAAAAGAAAGGCAGAGTGGGTTCAGAGGGGAGAGGCAGAGTGGTAATGAGCCTTGACTGGAATTTCATGGCATATTCAACTGCAACTCACCTTGCTTGAGGGCTTCAGGTTTCTGAATCTCCTCCAGTTTCCTTTGAACCAGGGTGCTTTGCTAGTCCCACTGCAATCTCTGGCCTCTCTGGGAAGTCTTTTCTGCTGGTCTCCTCCCCCTCAGACTCACAACTCCTTCCTCATAATTAAGGGATTCCACAGCCCCCTTCCACAGGGTTGTGACATGATTTAAGCAGGCTTCCCTGGCCCACCAGAATCCGGGTTCCAGTCCCATTGCACAGAGCCTCCTTTGGTCCCTGAACTCACAACTCTTTCCTCTTGGGGAAAGAATTCCACAGCCCTCCTTCTTGATTCAGGAAGGTTCCCCAGCCCACCTGTCTCCCTTCTGGTTCCTATCTCAGGGAGCCTCTCTTCTGACTCAATGTTCCCCTGCAATTCTGCCCTCTTGGCGGTCTCTCCTCTCCCTCTTAATCTTCCTGTAAGCTACCAAACAGCTGGATTTTATCATTCTAAGGAGGCAGCTACCTGATTAACATCTGGATCCCATTCCTCTGTTAGCCTGCTGCTCTCCCCACCCCCTTTCTTTTTGAAAGGTTTTGTCATGGAATAGGGGTTGGCTTGCTCCAGGCCCCCCTGTCCCTTCAAGGAGACACAGTAACCTTTTGCCACAGACCACTTCTCACATGCTCACGTACCACAGTTTGGGAATCTCTGATCTACATGGCAGAGCTTGCTTTCAGCAGAGATGCATCAATTCATCCTCACTGATTCAAATGCATTTTTAAAAAACCCGCTTTGTATAAAATAGATGTACATTTGTAGTGATGTGTGAACTGCCAAAGCTTGTGGGATTCAATATGAATAAATATTCAAAAGCCTGAAGTTTAGTCATCCTAATCTCAATCTTTTTGGTTTAGAAATCAGAGTGAAACTCTCATGAGATGAGTGCTCTTATAAAATTGCAGATACTATTGGAGCTGGATCAAATATACCATGAAAATAGCCCTCTTAATTCAGTATTCTGCCTCTCTTAGATCATTCCTGCCTGAAGCCAAGAAGCATAGAGATGAGCAAAAATTAGGGTGACCACATATCCCATTTTGGCTGGCACTGTCCCTTTTTTAAGCCCTGACCTGGATGCCCTGACTTTTTTTTTTGGGGGGGGGGGGTGAAAGTGGGCATGTGTCCCACTTGCTTTTGCTAACTTGATCAGTTGGCAAGAGCAAATGGGACAAATGCCCACTTTTGTCAAAAAAGTAGGGTGTGGAGAAACATACTGGGGGGGTGGGGAGCAAGTGGCAATGCCAGCCCCATGCAGGGGGGGGAGGCAGGGCTTGAGTGATCAGTGACACCAGCCCCAGCCTTTGGGAAATATGGTCATTCTAACTAGCGTGTGTGTCACTGCTTGCTCAAGCCTTGCTAGCCCCCGGTGTGGGGAGGTGGGCTCAGGCAAGCGGCTTCGGCCAGCCCTGTGCCAGGGGACGGAGGCTTGGGCCAGCCCTGTGTGGTGTTCCGTTTTCCCTTTGAGAAACATGGTCACCGAAGCAAAAATATACATTTGAAAAATTTACCAAACATGTTCATAACTTAAAAGGTTTGTTTCAGTATATCTTCAAGTATGACTATTCATAGCAGTTTCCCCTGCCCGTCCCAGCTCCCACTGAAGCCAAGGGGAATATTTTCACTGACTTCAATGGGAGTTGGAAGTCCCAATTGGGAGTCAGGAACTCCAGCTTATCCAAAGAATTCACTAGTTCAACTGTAGGTACTGTATAAAAAATTAAGAATTAACCATTTTGTTGCTGTTCTTTGATGCACCAACAATTCCACTGGAAAGTTAAATCTTCGGAGTGGACACATAGCAAGTACATGACTTGATATTCAGGTGGTTAAAGTATGCAGCTATCAAATGGCCCTCCAGGAAGATGATAAATTAATTTCTACCAGCAACTAACTAAGTGTTTTCTAGGAATCACAGTCCTGCTTTTGCTCCCAATGTCATCAGTGGCCAAATTTCCTTTGGGCGTCAACAGGAACAGGCTCTGAACCTCATATTTTCAAAAAAATAAAACTATAGATAAAGCTATTCCATACCACAAAAACATACTCCAATGCATTGCTATCCTATTGGAAAACAAACCATCGACTATGGGATTTCCTTATCTTATAACTATGTAACCATAACCCAATATTGCAGGAACTGCATGTATTTTCAGAACACACACAGAATCTTGTGAATGCTGGGCACGCTCTAGGTGTAGTAAGGGTGACCAGACAGTAAGTATGAAAAATCGGGACAGGGGGTGGGGAGGTAATTGGCGCCTATATAACACAAAGCCCCAAATATCGGGACTGTCCCTATAAAATCAGGACATCTGGTCTCCCTAGGTGTAGTGGAGAATTATGTCAAAAGAGTAATGTTGTTATAATTAAAATACACATTGTTACATGTACTCTCATTTGTTTGCTTTGGTTACGTACAGTAAATTTCATGCAGATTCACTGCTTCGAAGTCTGAATGTCCTTCTGTATGTGATTAAATATTACAAGTACAATGGATTTAATTCTAAACCGATGAAGAACATGTGGTTTCATAAAATTAGGATCACGTTTTCAAAATGTAGCTGTATGAAATGGTTATATCTAATTGTGGCCCCAAAACCATATAATCCTCTGTGAAAACAATATCGCCATAGGAATAGAGCAAATAGACATTCTTTAATTGGTTCTGATAACAAAAGAAATGACGACAACCAGGCCAATCTGTTCTGTAGAAAGGGTCAAAGTTATTCTAATATCCATTTAGAAAAGCAGTTCCACTTTAACTTGTTTCTACTATAATTTAAAATACAATGAAATCAAATGCCCCGGGCTGGCATCTTCTTAAATAAGTTGGTAAACAGTTTCCCCTGATAATACAGTCCCATGAAATTTTAGAGAAGGAAACATACAAACATACCCAATACCTTACACATGCCATTAATACAGATATCTCGGATGTTTCTGCCTTCAAAGCAAGGAGTACCATCACTAACTGCATCCAGCATTTTCTCTGAAAACTGGCCATCTACAGGACGGCAGTGGAGCTCACAAGGATTAGCTGAAGGAAAAAAACAAACACACTTTCTCACTGTAGCAATTATAATATGTAGTAACCAAAGTTCTGAAGTAAAATATGCAGAACTCTGACAATCTGTGGTACATCAAGGAATTTGCAAGATGAAACACATGGAGAATATCTCATCTCAAAAAAGTGAATTAGAGTGAGCTATGGGCTTGAAAATATTTAAAATGAATTTAGTACTCATGAAAAATATCAAATTGACAGTTCCACTGCTGAACAACAGTGGCTATTGTACTTCAGATTTGATCTAAGGCCCCAGTCAAGAAAGCTTCAACTTCCAGCCATTGGATCATGTTATACCTTTCTCTGCTTGATTGAAGAGCCCATTATTAAATATTTGTTCTCCATGGAGATACTTATAGACTGATTAAGTCACTCCTTAATCTTCACTTTATTAAACTACATAGATTGAGCTTCTTAAAACATAATTTCTAATCCTTTAATCATCCTCATGGCTCTTCTTGGAACATGCTGAAGTTTATAAAATTTCTTGAATTGTGCACTCCAGAACTAGGGTGACCAGATGTCCTGATTTTATAGGGACACCCCCGATTTTTGGAGCTTTTTCTTACACAGGCACTTATTACCCACCCCCCAACCCCGTGTCCCGATTGTTCACACTTGCTGTCTGGTCACCCTATCCAGAACTGAACACAGTCCAGTGCTAAATACAGAGGTAAAATAATCTCTCTATTCCTACTTGAGGTTCCCCTGTTTATACACCCAACGATCATGTTAGCTCTTTTGGCAATACTGTTGCACTAGGACCTTTGCTGGATTGGGGGTTTAAATGTGTTACTGACAGGCCCATAAGAAGTAAGTCAACCAAGACATCAAGATATTTATGTAGTTTACATATACATTTATTAAATATTTTAAGGAATATTCAACTGTGCTGTATACCCATCTCTGCTGAGTGAGGGCCTGAACCAATGCCTATTGAAGTCAATGACAATCCTTCCCTTGACTAAAATGGGGAATTGAGTCAGGCCCTTCCTGCATAATTTTATTGTTGTAACCACTGTCTTTCTTTCCCACCTCACTGTTTTGTCGCACCTTCATTGTGTCATATATGCAGCTGTATTCAAACTTGGCAGGGCAGGGCGTTTGTGCATTTACATGTAATGTGAGCAGTGCAATTTTTGGCACTGTTTAAAAACAAAAAATATTGTACTTATAAATGATAAAAGAGCAAGAGGGTAGCTCAGTCTCTATTGTTGTTTGAACAGCATGGGTAATATGTTTGGCTCTGTGTAGCACACAAAATAAAAGCTGTCCCTTCCCCCAAAGAGCTGCAAGGTCCTAGTCTTGCAAAAACTCAACTTTGGGCACTTGAGAAGTCCCACTCAAGTCAATACAGTCTTTGGAGAATTGGGGTCTCAAAGACAAAAACAGAAGATGGGACATTCTGGGAAACCCAGAAACTTAGCTGTTTTTTTGGCTAACTGTACACAAAGGTAAAAGTTGATTTTTAAGAGGGACTTGACTGAAAAGAAGGCGGTGGCTTGGCAAATTGGGATGAAGGAGAGCATTCCACTTATAATGGGCAGCATGGAGACAGGAGTATGCAGACGGTAGATGGAATTGGGCTTTGAAACTGGCATCATTCAAGGAGGTAAGTGGTAGGAGTTAAGGTCTGAGATGTAGACGGGTGGAATTATGAATGACTTTGAAGGCTAGGATGAAAAAATGAATCCCCATTCAATCCTTATCCAGTCTGTAAAGTTTGCTAACTGGGGCAATCAATCAATTTCCATTTTGATAGCGTTTTTTGTGATATACAAAAGAGGTATGATTTTTATTTTATTTCATTTAAATTCATGTAGGAGATTTCTGCCTGCTGTGGTTAATTTCAGTATCTGGTGCTAAAATTAATTTAGTACTTATTTCTGCCCCCCTGCACAATTTTTCAATAAAAAGAACCACGTTTTCTAGGAAGCAAGGATTCCAGAATTCCACCTAGTATTTGCCTCCTGCTCTAAACTGACCCTGTCTAACACGGAAATTGTGCAAAACCGTTTTTCTACTTTCAAGCAGTTCCTAATGTGTAGAACAGAAGTTTGACTTCCCAGTGGAGAAGTGCATGGGATTGTGTAAAAGTCACCATGGTGTCCAATTTCATTTCTGGAAGCACTGAGCATGAAAGAAAGCACAGTGGCAACTGCTAAAAAAATGAAGCAGCCCTATTGGGCATGAACAGAAAAATTGCCAGTTTGCCACTGAACTTCACTTAAAATAAGAGCAGTTCCTGCTCCTACCCCACAGTGTCAATTCATTATTCAACAGACAGGCACATTAACTCCAGGAATGATGTAAGTATTAGGCTTTGGACTTTCACATACAGACAACTGATTATGGGATGGATCACTGCAGCCATTGAGAAAATTGCCTATTATCCCAGCCACCTTACTAGCCATTTGTTTTCCAGATTATTATGTGTATTACTGTTGTGTCCAGAGGCCCTAACCAAGATCAGGGCCCCTGACAGGGTTCACTCCCCATTCTGAATTCTAGGGTACAGATGTGGGGACCCGCATAAAAGATCCCCTAAGCTTATTTCTACCAGCTTAGGTCAAAAACTTTCCCAAGGCACAAATCCTTCCTTGTCCTTGGATGGGTACTGCTGCCACCACCAAGTGAATTAGACAAAGATTCAGGAAAAGGACCACTTGGAGTTCCTGTTTCCCTAAAATATCTCCCCAAGCCTCTTCACCCCCTTTCCTGGGGAGGCTTGAGAATAATATACTAACCAAATAGGTAAACCAGATTCTTAAAAAACAGAACTTTATTATAAAGAAAAAAAAGTAAAAGAAGCACCTCTGTAAAATCAGGATGGAAGGTAACTTTACAGGGTAATCAGATTCAAAACACAGAGGATTCCCCTCTAGGCAAAACTTTAAAGCTACAAAAAACAGGGATAAACCTCCCTCTTAGCACAGGGAAAATTCACAAGCTAAAAACAAAAGATAACATAACGTGCCTTGCCTTATTTACTTATTCTTTTTGCAATACTGAGACTCATTTTAGGATGATTTTAGGAGAAGGAGTTTTCTGACCCGATGCTTCTCTGCTTCCCCAGAGAACACACGAAACAAAGCACAAACAAAGCCTCTCCCGCCGCCCCACACATATTTGAAAGTATCTTCTTTACCCATTTGTCCTTTTGGTCAGGTGCCAACCAGGTTATTTGAGCTTCTTAACCCCTTACAGGTAAGGAGGAATTCTAGGCTACCCTTAACTGTATGGTTATGACAGCCCCATTATGCCAGTGTTTCTCAAATGCAGCCACCAGGGCCTTTTCTTGTGGCTACAACCTCCTGGATGGTGATGGCTACCAGCAGGGGTTGGGCCTTGCCCCTTCTGGAGACACAAACACTGGAGGAGCAGGCAGCCAGTGAGTTCTCCAGCTTCCCGGGGCAGAGGGGTCGGGATCAGCTCTGGCCTAGCAGGCAGCTGGCTCCAGCTGTGGGACTTCAGGCTCCATCTCCAGGCTCTGGGGTCCGTCACCCAGGCCCTATCCCCTGGGTGCAGGGCTTCGGGCTCTGGCCCTGTGCACACCCCTAGTACCTGATGCCTCCCCCAGCCCCCGATACATCGCTCATGGCCCTGCTGCCTCCCTATGCACCACCCCATCCAGGGCTTAATTTGTCCCCCAGCATCCTGGGGCCGAGTAAGTCTGCTGTGAAAAGTGATGTTTGTTCATATCATTTGTCATAGTAGACTTGGTAGTTAGCTGGGAAGCTGTGAAAAGTGATATTAACATACAAGTATCACTTTTCACAACATCAGACTTACTCGCCAGCAAGTCTAAAATAAAAAAAGCAACCAGAAAAGCAAAAGAAACAACAAAAAAAGACAAGAATGTGCAAAGCACCTTATTTGTGTTTCTATTTTGTTTAGGTCCAGTAAAGAATAGAGACAACTGTACATTATTTTTATTATTGCGTCTGCAAAACCCCCCACACAAATAAATTACAATCATTTGGACATGCATTTATGCATATTTATTTGTTTTTCCTAAAGTTAATTTAAGTATTTTAGGAAAAATTGTCAGACTGGCCATCAGCAAGAGTTGGTGGCTGCACTTTGAGGCCACCAAAAAATGTGTTATGAGAAGCCCTGTGCTAGACTCTCCACACAGACTTCATAAAAGATAATCACTGTCCCCAAAGAGCTTATATTTTAAATAGGATAGAAGAAAGTAAGTACTATTACCCTCCTTTTGTAAATGGGGAACTGAGGCACAAGGAGATTAAGAGACTGCCCAGGTCACACAGAAAACACACAGAAAAGCCAGATATTGAACCAACATTTCTCAAGGCTCAATCCAATGATTTAGCCATAAGATCATTTTTTCGCTCAGTAAGAACATGAACATTGTTCAAAAGAGCATTTTTCCTTAAAGCAATTTTCTGCCTAGGTGAATTTCACTAATTAATAATGACACTTTACCAAAGAAGCTGCCATCTTAAGTATTGCTAGGCCAGTATATACACAGCGATTCTTGTAATCCAAAATATTCATAAAATAACAGATCTGATCCTGAAATATAGACCTTAATTTTGCAAAAGACCTTTCCTTTGACTTTCTGTAGGAGTTTTGCCTGAGAAAGAACTGAAGGATCAGGCCTTAAATGTATTCCCTCAAGCTGAATGGAGATTATATCACAGACTTCAATGGGAACAAGACTGAGTCCTTAATACAGAGGCAGAATGGATGTAATGGAATTCCAAGTAGAGCGATCTATTAAGAAAAGTATCTCTTTTACTGCAACTAGTTAACAATAAATTAAAAAACAAGAACTTTCAAAATATTAACACTATAAGCAGAAGAGAAGCAGCAAATACCAAGAGGTACAACCCAGCCAATATTCCTATTTCAGGTCATAAAAAACATCAGAGGGTCTGATTGCACCTTTCCTATGGAAAAAACACAAAGAGACGGCCTTGGTGGGAGGAAAACTTCAAAAAATTTTC